GTTTGCACCGCCCGATGCCGGTTTGCATTCCTCTATGTAACTCCAACATTGCACAGATGCCTGTATACACCAGTGTAACATAGGTGGTGTTTCAAATTTTCACCGTCAGTAAGTTTCCAAATTTTTATCGTCAGTAGGTTTTGAACTCCCAACCTACCACTTGGAGGGTTGACAACTTATCCACTTCACTAAGTTGCCACACCCCTAAATATGATTGTTAATACTATAAAGAGTATTATAAAAACAGAATATACAAGAATGTTAATTCATTTTTAAAGACTTTTAAAAAAAAAGCTAACACTCTTACTGATAATAACAGACTTAAAAAAAAGTCACAAGATTTAGAAGAAGATATGAAAGAACACAAAGAAGTACAAGAAAATGAAATCATGATAGATTTACAAATTGTGTTAAATAATATAAATAGATGGTAATGAATTAAAAATATAACATAAAACATAATTTCTAGTTTTCTTACTTCAATAAACCATCAATTTTAAGATGCATTTATGTCACATTCACATCTTACATATAACTGAATTAGTTGAATTAAAAGTACCTTGAGCATAAAAAAACTGCTAGTAATATAAAAAAACTTTTAGTTATGCAAGCAACTGAGAGATTTGCTAACCACTAAATTTGAAAAAACTAACACTTTTTCTAATATTTGCGTATAATTGAATTACCTTTTCCTATTTGATCCATAGAGATCCCACAGTTTTAAAAGGTGCCTTAGTACCTGAAGAACGTATTAGTAAAAAAAATATCTCCTGGTTATACAAACAACTGTGGCTTTGTTATATTACCTGAAAAAGGACTTTTCGTATGACAAATATTATAAGTCACGATATATCAACCAATCATGTTCAATTTGATGATCGGGATCGACAACCAATTAAAACGAAACTCCATCATGCTCACCCCGGGTGAAAGTTAGCAACACTCAAAAAATTATATATTTTACAATATCGAATCATTCTATCATTATAATATTTACTAGCAGAAGGTTCCGTTATTGTAAAATAATTGTTATGTATAACATCGACGGTTCCTCCTGTTAAGACCTCGCTACCAGGGACGACGATTTTCTGCGACAACAAAATGCCAATTCCGTCCGTGATAAAGATGATTCTGCAAAATTCTGTGATTAGCCGGAATTATGTCAAGTCGACCAGCACTATGATCCGCAAATTCTGGCCGAATTAATATCATCCGGCATTATGATGACTGTAGACCTAAATCCAGGCCAAAATTTCTTGTTAATCTTATTGAGCGGACATCTTTTAAATTTACTATAATAATCACCCGTGTAACATAAATATGTATATTGCTTTTTTATTTTGTTATAGACAACGATAATGTTAGATTTTGTTGTGTCATTACTTTTGACGCCCTTTTTGATACTCTTTTATGCAATACTTCTAGTGTCATCATTTTGCTGTTCAGCTGTTTTCAGAAAGATATGAAAACGATTTCCATATACTCAAGGGGGAAATCGAAGAATTTGGAAAATCGGAATAGTAAAAATTAAAGATCCAGCTGCCGTTTGTTGGTGTTGGTGTAAATCATTTATAAAACAAAAAAAAAAGTAGCCACCAGAATGTTCAATATATTCACTAAAACTGTGCTAAATATTATAATTCTGCACCAAATCACTATTGAAGTGCAATAGCTTCAAATATAGCAATTACAAAGATTGCCGAAATTACATTAATGAAAAAAGAAAATTCAAACAATCGAAAATACTTAGTCACAAAAAATTCGCACGTACGTAGCACTATTTAATACTTGAATATTTATCATGTATTACTCTTGGCAAGTACTACACTACACAAACTTACATATAACAAAGGCCACACAAATTTAATAAATTGGCATAACCTGACTGGTCAAATTTTTTTAAAAAAAATTTTATTATCCAAGTGTTTTTTTATATATAAAATTTTTCAAAAATAAAAGCCAAATTTCTGGGTCATTTATTAACTTTGATGTTATGTCGTAGCCCAAATGACAATCTGGCCAAGTTATGAATTACTTTAGCTCAGGTATTAGGATTAGATTTGGCCAATTTTCATTTGGGCTGTCCCAATTAACAATCGGAACTAGATTGTCACAACATATATAAACAAATTTTGTGTATCATTTGCACCTGACCAATGAAATTCATACGACATGCGTCGTTTTCAAAATGTGTTCGTAGATATCGATATGACTTCTAAATGTGTAACAGAAATTTCTTGTTTATGTTGATAATTCTTTAGAAATTTCTTGTTTATGTTAGAAATTTCTAACTATTTTCCGGCTAATCATTCAAACATTATAAATGCATTACATACGTCATGCTTACAAAGTCGAAGACAAAAGAATCTTCTAATCAGAAGAAATTTCTCGCCTTTAGTTGTTTTGATTCTCAGGAACCAGTATAAATGTATTATTCCTAACACATTACGTTTCAGGAATCTTCTTAATAGAAATTTCTCTTTATTTTCTTTAAACTAGTATGAACTCATTACATCATAAATTTACGAGTTCTCACCAGAAATTTCTCGTCTAAAACCAGTATGTAACATTATTACATATTATGTTTATAGACTAAAAAAATAAATGAATTTTATCATTGACTATTTTTGGGAGTTGTCTTCATTATGATTAATTGAAAATACGCGCGCGCGAATGGTTATTGAAATTTATTCGGTTGTAAATAAAAAAATACATGTGCATAATTTACACTAACGAAAGTTAGTAATGACTAATCATAATAAAGGAAGAAAGGAATAGACTAAATTGAAATATGAATCTTAATTAAAGATGCATAACAATGAATGGAAATAGATCTTAATAGTACTTATTTTATTTTCTTGAATTAAAAATTAATTGATTGTTGTCTTTTTGATTGGACTTCCTCCAGACTTGCCTATAATCGTATTTAATATGTTTAAATCCTCAGCTTCATATATATTCATTTTTATATAAGAGTCGAAAATTCCTGAAATTTAAAAGTTTATGTATTAAAAGGAAGAAAACTGTCATCTACTGAGAAAAATAAGATGTTGGTTGAATCAAAGAATCTTATAGAAACCGTTTAAAGTGAATATGACAATAAATAAATAAATGAATAAGCACACATTCCCCATATGAAAATAATATGCGAAAACGACATTCCACTATCACTTTAAGTTCTTTGATTTGGCGAACTTAATCATATATGCATACCTGAGATTCCATTATGAACCCCATTCATCTCATTAACATTGTTCTCACTTTCGTTAATCCCATGCAATCCTAATCCATTGCTTCCATCCGTTTGACTCATGAACGTGTCATTTAATGCTCTCAGCATTCGAGTAACTTCGTATGGATCAGTAACACCTGTTGCTTGCTGAATAGCTGGGTCCCTAAAATAAATAAATATAAGTATACCCCAAAAAATGGTTATCACACAATATAACCATAATACGTACGAAACCCTTAGGTAAGGGTTATATTCTAATTCTTCTTCAATAGTGCTAGGAACGGTACAATGTGCAGTTTGAGACCATGACAATTTTTTCTATTGAACGTGTAAAATTGAACCAACAATTAATTATAATTACCATAAATTAGAACACTTCATAATTACTTACTCGTATATTATTATTGTTAGGATCTACCGTATTCGCGAACTAAAATTAATAAATCTATTTAAATATATAAAATCTCACATTATCCTGTATGATAACTCTATTAGTCATTAATAGGTATTTCTAGTATTCATCCGTAATAATATGTCACCTGAAGATTTAATCTAGCACATTCATGGCCACAATAAACTTTTGTATCCTTTGGTAGTTTTCCTAATATATTATAAAGAACGTTGTACATGTCTTTCGCGTCTCCTTCAGTGATCCTTCCACACCCACCTATAAATAATATAGCATATCAAATTTTAAAATCTTAAGAAATAAATAAGGACTGTATGTAAACTATGTGAATAAATAAATAACAAGTATTTTGAAATACTAAGAAATAAATAATATTGTATGTAACCTATGTGAATAAAAGAGTTCTTACCTACTAACAAAGTGTCTCCAGTAAACACGGCCCTTTCCATTTCTTCATTTTCCTCGTTACCATCTCTTACATAGTAGCACACACTGCCTCTGGTATGTGATGGGGTATGATATGAACGAACTTTTAAAGTACCAACCTATTTCAAACCGATAGAATTAGCGATATTCCACATGATTGATAAAGAAAATTTTAGTTATAATGATTGTATAACATACGGTGAATTCCTCATTATGCTTACAAACATAATTCAATTCTGTAAAGAGCGAGCAAGACGAGAAAGGACCAATTAAAATTGAATGATAATTTAGATGATTGTTTAAAGATTTAAAGACACATTACCAGGAATTCGTGCATCAGCCCCATAAACAGCGAGATTGGGTTTTGTCATTACTAAATCGATATTGCCATATGAATGATGTCTATATATATAAAAAAAAATTGGTATATAGATTTTCTAAAACTTCGATATTTAGAAAAACAATTACTTATGATGGTGAGTCGTCAAGATCGAAGTTAACTTCGCACCAGTCTGAGCAAGGAGAGCTAAAATCTTTTGCGGTTCTGCAGGGTCAACCGCAGCAGCTGGTATTTCATTAAAAGGGGACATGGGAGGAAATTATAAATCTTAATTCACAAATAATTGTGGAAAACGGATGCTGAAACATGGGTCTTTGTCCTGACAATGACCTTTTGGGACTATGTAGATTTTATAAATCAAAGTAAAAATTTCTAGCTATCTAGTAATCCATTTCAAATAAACTTTTTTTTTTAATATTTTGTAGAACCCTCTAAGCTTACAAAATAAAAAAAGGTTTATTTAAATTGGATTACTGGATGACTAGAAATTTTAGTTTTTATTCATAAAATCTACATTATATACATGTTATTAAGCTGGGCTATAAAATTAATAATTCTTGACGGCCAAATATTGACTATAGATTTAGACCATTTAAATATAATTGTCGACAAAACCCGAACAAATGCAAAATCCCAAATTTTTTATTTTATTTTTTTAACCGCCATAGGGCGTAAATCCTAAATGTCAATCAAGGTGCTCTTTGAATGTTGAATATATTATTTATAAGAATATATTTGATTTATAAAATTTTTAAGTTGAGTTTGGCTAGACCCTTTGATTTGTCCACACTAAGTTTAAAGTAGACAAATCAGAGTCGGGCCAAACAGCTCAAAAAATTTAAAATTTAATAAATAAATATATTCTGAAAGTTGTAGATAATATATTTAAAATATTCAAGATTATTTTTTGATTTAATTTTTTATGAATAGCAATTATTTGAGGGTTTTAGATTTGTCCGGATTTTGCTAGCAAGTATAATTTCAGCATCAGCTTACTTTAGTAACAACTCCACAATAATTTAATGAAAATATCGCAAACCTTCGTTAGCTTTATCATCGACGATAAGATATGAGTAATTGTGTTCAAAAATTGGTATAGGAATGATACGCATGGCTGAACTAATAAAAAAAAAGCAGTAATGTCAATAAAATATTACCAATTTCGCAGCCGAAAAATAAGGTTGGAATCCATTTGTTTGTAAAGAAAAGCAGATTCTTGAATAATCTGGAGTATGAAACGAAGTGTTTGATCAAATATCCTTCTTTTTGGTCAGGATCGATTGTGTCCAACGAAGAAGTTTGCAACACAAAATTGAAATATACCAGCATGAGTCGAAAAAAAAGAATCTATAAAACTTACGGAAAATTTTACTTGAATAATATCAATTCAATGTAAGTTGGCAGTGTTAGAGGGAAATAAAGAGCAAGTCATAAAGGTTCTCTATGTACAAAATTAAGTACAGAAAAGAAAATTCGAAAATTCGCTGTTCGTTAAGATAAATTTTGTTTTAAAAAGTCTTGGCATTTTCTTTTGAGAATTCATTTTCTTGGCATTTTTCATATATGGAAATCATTACGGAACTCTATTTGTTGTGTGCAACGAAGATCTCATAAGCTATAAACTGTCATAAACGAGTAATACAAATAAGTGCTGTGTAATACGGCGCAATTGTTAAACTCATATGTAGCATATCGATATTCAAATTTCTGGAAAAGGACGCAACAAAGCAAAATGAACCATCATTTCTCAGCGTGCATATTATGAAAGTAGTAAGAGGGGCTGAATGGTCCACCTCCTGGTATAGCATAAACATGTACATGATTTCATATTTATTTAAAATTTTTCCCAAAAATCATCACCATAAATACTCGAATGTTTCGCATACTATTTATTACTCGAGGATAGTTTCTAGAAAACGGTCTCCCTCTATCGCTATTACATTTTTTTTTCGTAGTCATAATGTGGTACTAAATTAAAATTGATTTTTGATATTGCTCATCTTTTTTTGCATAACAAACAAAAGTGTAGAAAAAGTGTTGTCAATAGCAAACTTTTAAATTAATAATACTTCTACGTATTCAATATGTAATTAAATGATGCTAATAAATACTACATAATTTATATACGCTTATTAATAGGTGCGATAAATAATAGCTTTTAAGCATCATAAATTCTTAAATTACTAATTGGCAATGGTGAAACATTAAAGAAATGTTAAATAAGACTATTTGAGATTAGGTAAATTATATCTTATTAAATAAAATCAAAATTTGTATTTACGTATCAGTATTGTTTATAAATTCTATGTAATTGGTAGTTAGGTAACACCATTAATAAAATGCATATTAACCGAACTTAAAAAAAAACTTTAGTTGTTGTAATTATTGTATAGAGATCAGTTCAAGTCGGGACTGGTACTTAGAATAAAATATATATGGGTTTGGTGCTGAGAAAAGGGACAAATTTGACAAAAAAAAGTTTGCGGAAAATTTATAAATTTTATAAGAAAATAAAAACTCTTAAAGATTATACTGCAAAATTTTATTAAGATAACAAACAGTTGTTCCTTAAGTGAAAAATGTTTCTAGACTATTTTGGATTAGCTAAGCTCGATTTTTTTTTAAAAAAAGTTGTCAGTTTCGTCCCTTTTCTCAGCACCTAGCCATATAATTCATTGCTAATACGACTGATGGCCAATCAAAATGCAAGGTCAGGTATAACATTGAGTCGAAGAGACAAACCTACTTTTCTATCCTAATCTTATCCTAACTATAACCTTGATCGTTATTGGTTTAGTAAAGTTAGTTCAGGTCCGGTCTTGATCTTAAGATTTTTAGATTCATTCTTGCAGACTTTAAGACTAGATTCTTATTTTAAAAGTCTTAGAACCTAATTTAGTCTAAAACTAAGTTCTACTATAAACCTATAGACTTAGATTATCCCTTAAACCGTATTCCAGGCAAATTTGCCTGGAAAATTAAATTGTATTTAGTATTTTTTAAATAAAATAAT